CTGTGGAGATAAGGGTACGGAGATGGAAGACTGAGAGCTGGAAACACTAAGACTGAGGATATCAGATGGAAGATTGAAAGCTGTAAGCAAGAAGACTGAAAGCATGAAGAATCAAGCTTGTGTGCTGGAAAGACACAGTGTTGAACTCTTGAACTCGAGATATCTATAGTGGTGTTATTCTGTTATAAGATCTATTGGTTGTACCGGCCTTTGGTCTGACCCATCGGGGTATTGGAGAATAACGAACGAATAATAATAAAATAGTCTGATATCTGGTTAGAGGAATTAGCGTTATTTCCTTACAGATTTGGCTGATTTTATTTTCTAACATAATGGCTGTTTTCAGGGAGGAAAGGACAGTGCCAGATGACAGGGAGAGGTTAATGATTTTGGCTAGTATTGGGGCAAGGAGGTGGAGCTGGGATTTAAGGAGAGGAGTTGGGATGGGGTCAAGGGAGCAGGTGGTGGGCTTCATGGAGTTATGGTGGTGAAGACAGAGGAGGAGTTGACAGGTTCAAAGGTGTGGAAGGAGGGGTGGATAATTGTCAGATGCATAATTGTGTAGGTTGGGGGTAGGGAGGCGGTGGAAGTTGGAGGGGCAGTGGCAGCTATGCGGATTCCCTCAATTTTGGACTTGAGGAAGTCCAGCATTTTCTCTCAGTGAGAGTTGGAGGAAAGAATCTACAAGGCATGACGAGGAGGGTGGAGGAGCCAGTTGGTGGTGGAGAACAGGAGCCTGGGGTTGCCCTTTGCCTCCAGGATTAACCTGGAATAGAAGGATGATTTGGCCGAGGCAAGAGTAGAGCGGTAGGTCTTGATGAGGTCCAGCCAGATGTGAACCGTTAGGCCAGATTTGAGCCAAGTGCATTTAGCAGACCGCACCTGGCCCATAAGCGAGCAGAGGTGGCTGGTGAACCAGGGTGAGGATTGGGAATAGGAAGCAGTTTGGGAGGTGAGGGGGTCAAGGACGTCGAGTGTGGTGGAGAGGGGGCCGTGGAGAAGAGTAAGCTCAGCAATTGGGTTGGTGCGAGAGGTGGGCCAGAGGGGAGGAGTTCAGAGGACTCCATGGCAGCGGAGAGGCACTGCGGGGAGATCTTCTTCCACGGGCAGTAGAAGATGAAGGTACGTTTGGAGGCAGTGGGGAGAGGGATATAGGAGTTGAGGGAAATGAAATGGTGGTCAGAGATGGCCTTGTCAGTGATGGTGACATCCGAGATGCTGAGGCCCCGGGTGATCACAAGGTCAAGCGGGTGACTGTGGGTGTGGGTAGCAGAGTGGATGTGGAGGGAGAGGTTGAGAGAGGAGAGGAGAGAGGAGGAGTCTGAGGAGATGGAGCAGGAGCTGGTGAAGTGGAGATTGAAGTCACCTACGATGATGAGGTGGTCAGAGCAGAGGCAGAGAGAAGCAAAGTGGGTGGAGATGTCAGAGATGAAGGTGGGGGAGGATTTTTGGGGGCGATAAAGTAAGAGGATCTTTAGAGAGAGATGGGAGGGATGGCAGAGGGTAAGGCGTTCGAAAGAAGGGAACGAGCCGGTGGAGTAGGGGGATAGGGCAAGTGATGCCCTGGAGGGCCACACCACCGCCACAATGGCTGGTGTGTGGGGCATGGTGTTAGGTATAGCCACGTGGTGTGGCCTCAGTGAGGGCGAAGGTGTCACGTGGGTGATCCAGGTTTCTGTGAGGGCCATAATATCAAAATTCTCACCACTGCCAGGGTCCTATTGGAGATCAAGTGCACATTTTGAAGGCCAATGTGGAGTGGACAGATGGCAGGGGGATGTGTGGGATGGGAGGAGGTAGTGGATTGGTTGGCAGGGAGGGTGGGGATGCAGATGAGGGAGGAGAGGTTAGACCTCGGGGTCTGGGTCCGGGGTGGCTTGCGGCGGTAGTGGGGAATGGGACAGTCGATGTGGCTGCTGCTGGACAACCAACGCTGAGTGCCATGATGAGCCCGGCGGAGGATTCCCAGGCTGGAGCAGAGTGAGGCAGTGGTGGGGGGGGGGGGGGGGGTCAAGCAGAGATAGGAGGTGGGGAGGGCGGAGAGAGAGAGCAGGACAGAGCGGGAAAGTTGCAGGCAGGGGGGCATTTTGAGGGAGGGCCAGTTTGGGTCAGGGGCGGCAGCCAAGATGCGCACTCTGGGACGAGAGTCGATGGGTTTAGTGGGACATTGTCAGCCTGCAGGAGGCTGTGGCGCAGAGTGGGGAGGGCGCTCATTGTGGTTAGCAACGAGCAGCCTGCAGGGGAAGGAAGGGGAGGGAGACAGACTGAGGATGGGAGGGAGGGAGACACTGGTATAAGCTATACTGTACTGTACCCACTATCAGATTCAAACCTGGTGGGCGGAAGTGACGTCACCCAGAATGGTGGGAAAATCTGGAAGTCCAAAATGGTGGCTCCCCGGCCAGGTAATGGCTGCCGCTCGATCTCCGAGACCCCGGCATCAGACATTCGCCCCACCTCAAGGTCCATGAGACCCTCGGCCCAACCTGCAACTACCGGGCCCTGCCTTTGGCTAACACTGGTCCCGATCCACGGGAGACCAGCCCTGTGACTCCCTGCTGCTGCCTGACTTACCTTTCGTGTTGAAACAGTGCAGGAGACTGTGGATGGAGAGGTCAGAGTGTGAGTGGGAGGGAGAGTTCAAATGCAAGAAACCGGAAGCTCAGAGTTGTGTTTGCGGACAGAACGGAGGTGTTCGGCAAATCGGTCACCCAATCTGAGTTTCACCTCTCCAATGTAGAGAAGACCACATCATGAGCTAGCTAGGAGAGGGATTACTTAGCTTACGGTGGGACACACACATGTGCAGGTGTGAGTGATGTGTTAGTGAGTATGAGTCTCTTTCTGTTCGTGTGAGCCAGGCTGAGGAGCATATGGAGGGTATGATGTTGCTGTGTGTGAGTTTGTCCATCATCATCTGTCTAACAGGTTAGTGTGTGTTATATAGTGTACTGATATACTGTGTATATTCCTCTCTCACACACACTGCGTGAGAGAGACTGTACTGATATCCTGTATATTATGGAGTCCTGTAGCTCAGTGGTTGGAGCATTCACCTAGCAAGCGAGAGGACCTAAGTCCGATTCCCGGGAATGGTGAAACGGTAAGCAACAATAACTTGCACTTTTATAGCGCCCTCCATACAGGATAGCGTCTCAGAGTGCTTTCCTTAGGCAAGTTTCCTTACTCCACATGCATCGGTTTACCTAGCAGTAAATAGGAACCCGGTTGTTAGTCGATGTAATAATCCTTTCAGATAAAATAAAATAAATAACAATAATAATTTGCTTACTCTTTCTATAACTGTTTGTGGGCATTGCTGTGTGCAATTGGCTCCACCTTACTAAGCCAGTCGAGAACCTTGGCATCTTGTTTGACCCTCAACTATGCTTTCTACTCCACATCTGTGCCATGACCCACTCTGCCTTCACTCACCTCCGCAACATCACCCAAATCCACCACTGCCTCTCTCCGCGAGCCGTCAAAACACTCATCCACACATTTATTACATTTAGGCTCGACTATGCCAACTCCCTGCTTGTCGGCCATCTGAAATCTTCCCTCCACAAGCTGCAGATCATTCAGAACTTTACAGCTCATGTCCTCTTCCGCACCAGGCTCCGTGACCCCATCACCCCCACCCTCGCCTGGTTCCACAGAGGACAGAGTCTTTGTGTGTGTCTTTCTCTCGGTTTTTGTGGGTGTCTCTCTCAGTCTCTCTCATCCGCACCTTCAAAGCCCTCCATGGCCTTGCTCCTTCCTACTTGTGACCTGTTAACTCCATATCAATCTGTCCGCTCTCTCTGCTCAGCAGGCTCCAGCCCGTTCGGGGGCCTTCAACCTCTCTACCCCGACCCTTTGGAAATCCATCCCACAGTCCTTTTGCCTCGCAACATCCCTTGCCTCTTTCAAGGTACACATCAAGAACCTATTCTCTGATCTCACCTTCATCCACCTTCCTGCCCTCCACCCCTCCTGATCCCAATCCTCTGCCCAGGTCCAAATCCCTGACTGTCCAGGGCTTTGGGACGTCCTCCCGGGGTGAAACCCACCATACAAACACCATACATTTGTTGTTGTTGATAAGACTATATCAAATGCAAGGATTATTATTATTATTATATTCCCCTCTCACACACTCACAGCCCTGTCAGAGCGAGACTGAGATACATACTGTATACTGGGTATACTTCCTTAGTCTGTGTATACTGTATACAAAAACCGAGAGAAAGACATACACAAAGACTGAGAGAAAGAGAGAGAGAGACTACAAGACAGTTTAATGTTCATTAACGTAAAATATTATTAGGGGTTTTGTTAGAGACAGAGACACAGACTAAGGAAGTGAGTGCGACTAAGGAAGAGTATACAGTATATACTCCCCTCTGACATCCAAACAGCCTGAGAGAGACTGATATACCAATTTTATTCCCCTCTCACACACACAACCTGAGAGATTGAGAGAGAAACTGAGAGAGTGAGAGACAGATGAACTCCCTTCTCTTTTCGAAGCCAAAAGAGAGAGAAATGGAGCGAGAGAGAGGAGAGAAACTCGCTTCTCATTTTCAAAAGAGAAAGAGCATGGGAGAGAGGGATACTCCCTCTTTTTTTTCGAGAGAATTCACCTTTGCACTCACTTCCTTAGTCAGTCTCTCTGTCTCTAAGAAAACCCCTAATAATATTTTCCGTTAATGAACATTAAAGTGTCTTGCAGTCTCTCTCTCTCTTTCTCTCAGTCTTTGTGTGTGTCTTTCTCTCGGTTTTTGTGGGTGTCCCTCTCAGTCTCTCTCTCACACTCTCTGTCTCTATCTACTCTGTCTCTCTCTCTCAGTCCCACACTCTCTCTCAGTCTCTCTGTCCGTCACTCTGAGATGGAGCGAGAGATGGAATGTGAGAGTTTCATTTGAGTATTAATGTAAAATATTATTTTGAAGTTTTGTCAAGAGAGAAAGAGAAAACATGGGAGGTTATCTGAGAGAAGGTGGGGTTGTCTGGGAGAGGGAGGGGCTAGCTTGCGGAGGGATACATACCTGTGCAGGTGTGAGTGAGTGTGTTAGTGAGTGTGAGTCTCTATTTTAGAGTGAGCCGGACTGAGGAGGATATGGAGGGTGTGAAGTTACTGTGTGTGAGCTTGTCCATCATCTGTCTAACAGGTTAGTGTATGTTATATATACTGATGTACTCCCCTCTGATACACACATACAGACTGAGAGACACACACACATACAGATTGAGAGACACACACACATACAGACTGAGAGACACGCACATACAGACTGAGAGACACACACATACAGACTGAGAGACACACACATACAGACTGAGAGACACACACATACAGACTGAGAGACACACACATACAGACTGAGAGACACACACATACAGACTGAGAGTCACACACACACATACAGACTGAGAGACACACATACAGACTGAGAGACACACACATACAGACTGAGAGTCACACACACACATACAGACTGAGAGACACACATACAGAGACACACACACATACAGACTGAGACACACACATACAGACTGAGACACACACATACAGAGACACACACACATACAGACTGAGAGACACACATACAGACTGAGAGACACACATACAGACTGAGAGACACACACACACAGACTGAGACACAAACACACACAGACTGAGACACACACACACACACAGACTGAGACACACACACACACACAGACTGAGAGACACACACAGACAGACTGAGAGACACACACACAGACTGAGAGACACACACAGACAGACTGAGAGAGACACGCACACAGACTGAGACATACACACACAGACTGGGAGAGACACACACACAGACTGGGACACATACACAGACAGACTGAGAGAGACACACACACAGACTGAGACATACACACACAGACTGGGAGAGACACACACACACAGACTGGGACACATACACAGACAGACTGAGAGAGACACACACACACAGACTGAGATACACACAGACTGAGAGACACGCACACACAGACTTGGACACACACACACAGACTGAGAGAGACACACACATACAGACTGAGAGAGAGATACACACACACACACACAGACTGAGAGAGACACACACATACAGACTGAGAGAGACACACACACACACAGACTGAGAGAGAGAGAGACACACACACACACACACAGACTGAGACACACATATAAACAGAGAGAGAGTTTAATTTGCATTAACCTAACTCTGTCTGTCCAGGGCCTTGGGATGTCCTCTTGTCGTGAAAGGTCTTATACAAATGTAATTTTGTTGTTGTTGACACATACACACACACAGAGACTGAGACACACACACAGACTGAGAGAGAGCTTAATTTGCATTAACCTAAAATATTATTTTGAGGTTTTCTCAGAGAGACAGACAGAAATTAAGGAAGTAAGTGCAAAGCGGGCAAAGGTGACCTCTAACTCTCTCTAAAAGAGAAGAGGATTTCTCTCTCTTGGAAGACATGGGAGTTTCTCTTTCTGTCTTTCTTCGTTGCTTTCTTTCTGTCTGTTTTTCTCTCTTGCTCTCTCTGTCTCTCTCACTTTCGAAAACGCAAGGGAGTTTCTTTCTTTGTCGCTCTACTTCATTCTGTTTTTCTCTCTCGCTCTCTCGCTTTCGAAAAGAGAAGGCAGTTTCTCTCCTGGTTTCGAAAAAATAAAGGGAGTTTCTCTCTCCATGTTGTGGTTTCACTTCTCCATAAATAGTTTCGGGGCGGAGGGAGAAAGAGAGGGGGAGGAAGGCAGAGAGAGGAAGGGAGGGAGAGAGAGAGACAAAGAAAGTGAGAGACAGGAAGAGAGAGGGGAAAAGAAATAGAGGGAGAGGCAGAATGAGAGAGAGAGAGAGAGTCTGGTTAAACCAGTTTTTCACAAGTTAATCAGTAACTAATCACCCAGTCCACGCCTTAATCTCTGCCTTGTTTGTGTCAAAGCTTACACTCATTCTCTCTATTTCTCTCTCGCTTCCCTCGTTGTGTAACCACCACCCAACACACACAGTCTCCCGTAGCTCGCAGTCTGATGCTGCCTCGCTGATCGCTCGCTCCCAGTCTCTGTGTGCGTGTTTTGGCTGCCGCTCCAACCCGAGCCGCTCCCCCTGAAAATGTTCCTGCTCCCATCCCCGCATTCCGCTACTCCCGCTCTGTCCTTCTCTCCCACCGCCCTCCTTCTTCTCTCCTGGACCCCACCATTACCTCGCTCTGCTCCAGCCTGAGCATCCTCCGCCAGGCACATTGTGGCTCCCGGTGTTGGTTGTCCAAGAGCAGCCGCCCCAACTGTCCCATCGCTCACTCTCTCCACAGCAACCGCCTTCAAAAGGCAAACACCCCTTCCCCCTCCCCTATCCATACCCTCTCCAATTCTCCCCATCCTCGAACTCCATGGTCACTTCTGCCCCATCGCGTCAAATCCTCTCTATACTACTCCCTCCATCACCCACCCCCACCAGCAAAACTATCTGCATTTCCCTCCAAAATGTCCGCTCCCTCTCTAACAAAGCCCTTACTATCCATGACCTCATTCTGGATGAGCACATTGATATTCTTGGGCTTACAGAAACCTGACTCTTTCCCCCAGTGATCCTATCAACTTCGTTGCAGCCTCCCCTCCTGGCTACACTTTTCCCCACACCCTCTGCCTCAACTAACATGGTGGCGGGGTGGCCCTCAACTTCCAAGCTTCCCTTGGTCTATCCCACTATTCCTCTAGCTGTTTCTCCTTCTTTGAGCACCTCACCCTCTACCATCCCTCCTCTCTCTCCCTCAAAATCTTCCTAGTTTACTGCCACCCCTCCCTCAAACCTCCTGGCTCCTTCCTCACTGATATCTCCTCTCATCCCGATCCCTCTGACCTAAACACATGCTCATAATGGGTGATTTTGATCTCCACCTAAACTCCCCTTGCACCACCTCCTCAGATTTCACTGACCTCCTCTCCTCCTTAAACCTCACCCTCCACATCAAGTCGCCGGCCCACAACCATGGCCATTCCCTCGACCCAGTTATCACAAATGGCCTTGACATTTCCAACCTGTCTATCATGGACAAGGCCATCTCAGACCACTTTGTCATCTCCCTCTCCTCCCGCAGACCCCTCCCCTCTTCCAAGCCCTCCAACATTATTTTCCACCTCTGGAAAAAGCTTCCACCTGAGCCCCTCATAAATTCCCTCTCTTCCTTGGACATCCACTCCCTCTGGCCCTCCAAGGGGGAGCATATAGAGGGTGAGGAGGAGGGGACCGAGGACAGAGCCCTGAGGGACACCACACAAGACAGTGCGGGGGCTGGAGGAAAAGCCGTTAGTGGAAACAAAATGGAGACGGTGGGAGAGGTACGACCTTGAAGATTGAGGTGGGAGGACAAGTGGTGGAGGAGGATAGTGTGGTCGACCGTATCGAATGCGGCCGATAGGTCGAGGAGGACGAGGAGGCAGAGGGAGCCCAGGTCGCAGATGGTCAAGATGTCATTAGTGACCTTGATCAGGGCGGTTTCTGTGCTATGGGCAGCACGGAAACCCAACTGGAGGGGTTCAAATAGTGAATGGGTGGAGAGGAAAGAGCGCAGCTGGGAGGCGACGACTCTTTCGCGAATCTTGGACAGGAAGGGAAGGTTGGAGATGGGCCGGTAGCTTGGTAGCTGCGGTGCATCAAGGGAGGGTTTTTTCAATATGGGAGTGATGGTGGCAGTTTTGAGGGGAATGGGAACAGAGCCAGAGGAGAGGGACAGGTTAATGGTGTCTGTCAGAAGTGGGGCAAGGAGGTGGAGCTGGGAGATAAGGAATGGAGTGGGGATGGGGTCCAGGGAGCAAGTGGTGGGTTTCAAGGACAGGATGAGGTTGGTGACAGAGGGTGGGGAAACGGGTTTGAAGGTGTGTGGGGGGGATGGGTAGGAGTCGGAGTTTGGGAGGGAAGGGGTGCGGGGGTGGATGGAAGTTGGAGGGGCAGTGACTGCCGAGCAGATTCCCTTGATTTGCGATTCAAGGAAATCCAGCATCTCCTCACTGTGAAGGTTGGAGGAGATGACCTGTGCGGATTATCCTGCAGTAGAAGGACGACTTGGCCGAGGCTAGAGTGGAGCAGTAAGTTTTGAGGAGGTCCAGCCAGATTTGCCGGTGGACCATTGGGCCAGATTTGAGGCAGGTGCATTCACCGGCCCGCACCTGGGTCTTCAGTGAGCGGAGGTGGGTGGTGAACCAGGGAGAGGAGTGAGAGTAAGAGACAGTACGGGAGATGATGGGGGCAAGAGTGTCGAGTGTGGAGGAGAGGGCGTTGTGGAGGAGGGTGAGAGCAGAAGAGGGGTCAGTGAGGGATGAAGGCCAGAGGGAGAGGAGTTCAGAGGACTCCAACGTAGCGGTTAGAGAGTTCGAAGAAGTGCTCGATTTTTTCACCTGAAAAATTGAAAACATCTACTTGGCTGCATTGTACTCTTCCTCCCACCCCACCCAGACCATCCACGCCGCCTTTTCCCTCTGCCATGGCTCCTGCCACTACCCCCTCCTTACACTCATTTGCCACCATTTCTCCCTCCTCCCTCTCAACCACAATCACCTGGGTGAAGTTCACTACCTGCTACTTTGAGCCCCTCCCCACCCAGCTGGTGGTCACTCAACTCCCCCTCCTCTTCCCCCTGCTGACTGACACGTTCAACCAGTCTCTCTCCTCAGTCTCTGTTCCACTCTCGCTGAAAACCGCTGTCATCAAACCCCTCCTCAAAAAACCCAACCTCGATCCCTCTAATCTCTCACACCACCATCCCATCTCCAACCTAACTTTTCTTGCCAAAGTTCTGGAACGCATTGTTGCAGGTCAACTTCTGTCACACCTCTCCCTCCTCGAGCCCTTGCAGTCTGGTTTTCACGCTGCCCACAGCACAGACAATGTTTGTCAAAGTCACAAATGACATTCTCTCTATCTGTGACCAGGGCTCCCTCTGCCTCCTGGGTCTCTCTGCCGCGTTTGACATAGACAACCACACCATCCTCCTCCTCTTCCGTCTCTCCTCCCTCATCTACTTTAGTGGGACTCGCATGGTTCGAGTCCTATTTAACCAACCTCCTCCATTTCATCTCAGCAAATGGTTTCTCCTCCTGCCCCTGACCGGTCACCTGCGGGGTATCTGAGGGCTCCATCCTCGGCCCTCTTCTTTTCCTCATCTATATGCTCCATCTAGATGATATCATCCGCAGACACGAGGTAAGCTTCCACATGTATGTGGGTGACACGCAAATCTACTTTGCCTCCTCCAGCATTGACTCCAGGTCCGCTGATGTTCTATCAGCTTGTCTGGCAGACATCAAGGCCTGGATGAGTGCAAACTTCCTGCAGCTTAATGTTGACAAGACGGAAGCCATACTCCTTGGCTCCCATCAATGTCTTCACTCCTTTGAATCTAAACTCCTGAACCTCCCTGGACTCTCCTTCAGACTCACTGAACCAGTGCGCAACCTACGCTCCGGTTCGAGCGCCACTGTTTAGCTCTGTGGAGTCCTGTAGCTCAGTGGTAAGAGCACTTGTTTTGCAAGCGAGAGACCTGGGTTCGATTCCCGGCAGGTTGAAACCTTGGGCAAGTTTCCTTACTCCACACACCTGATAATAATCCCTCAAGAAAACAAAACAATATTCAATTGGTCATTTCAATCCACGACTCTTTGTGGGACACTGCTGTGTGCAATTGGCTGCCGCGTTCCCTCCACAATTCACTTTACAGTCTATTCTGTGAAGCGCTTTGAGACGTCGAGAAGACATGAAAAGTGCTATATCAAATGCAAGGATTATTATAATAATGCATAATTATTATGCTACCCTGCACGGAGGGCACTATACAAGTGCAAGTTGTTGTTGTTTGCTATGCAGGTGCTTGCTCCCCCCACATTGTTACTCTCTTCTCTAACCCCATTGCCCGCCCTCTCTCTGTCCCTCTTAGTCTGTCTGTCTCTCTCTCACACACACTATCTCACAAACAACTCTCTGTTCCAACTATTGTGTGTTTGCTGTTGCTAGCTTGCCCCACACTGCTGCTCTCTACTCTAACCCCATTCCCCCACTCTCCCCCTCGGCCTCCCCCTCGCCCCACCCCCCTCAGCCTCGCCCCGCCGCCCTCGGCCTCTCCCACTCCCCGTCTCGCACTCGCGCGCTTGGCCTCTGTTCAGGATGTAGGTTAGAGATCTGTCATGGTGGGGTTAGAGAAGGGAGATTCTCTTTCTCTCCCAGTGTCCTGGCTGACAGATAAAACAACATTAAACACACAGTCACTACACTTTACATTGAAACATGGATTTAGTGTGAGATGGATAGAGACTTGAGTAAGTCCGTGGATGGATTAAGGTGTGAGAGAGAGATGGATAGAAACATAAGTAATAATTCTTGTTATATCTACAGTTCATCCTGCGTTGGGATATGAAGTTTCGACAGCTAATTCAGTGGTTCGCTCCCAACCAGGAAAATGTGAGTAACAAACCCATCTCCCTCTCCTCATCTATCTCTCATACTTTCTCTATCTGTCTCTCATACTTTCTCTTCTCTCTCTCGCTCTCTGCCCTCTCATTTCTTTGTCTCTCTTCTCGCTCTGAGTCTCTCTCACACACTCTATCTCTCTCTCAGCCTTACAGTCTCTCTCTGTCTCTCTCTCTCTCTCTCTCTGTCTCACACTTGTTCTCTTTTAGTCTCTCTCTCCCTCACTCACGCACACTCTCTCTCGTCCCAGCGCTGGAGCTAAGCTGCACATACACGGCTGATTTCGATTCTCCGAGGATCGAGTGGAAAAGAAGCGATTTGCAAGGATCAACAACATTGATATATTATGAAAAACAAGTAACAGGTGAGTCTCTCTCTCTCTCTCTCAAACACTCTCTCCGTTTCTCGCACTCACACATTCTCTCTCACCATCTCCAGCACTCTCACACTCTCTGTCTATCGCTCTCACACATAATCTCTCTCCCGTCTCTTGCTCACACACTCTCTCTGTCTCTCTTTATCTCCAGCTCTCTCACACTCTGTCGCTCTCAGACTCTCTTTCTGTCTCTCTCTCTCACTCAGTCTCCCTCTCTGTCTGAAACATTTTCTCTCCATATCTTGCTTTCACACTCTGACACACACACACACACACACTCTCCCTCTTTCACTGTTTCTTGCTCTCACCCACTGTCTTTCATTCTCATACTTTTTCCCCGTCTCACTTCTCAATCAGTCTCACATTCTTCCTTCTCTCTCACACTTTATCTCTCCACAGAGAAATTCAGAGAAAGATTCGAAGTTTACGACAAAGGAATGCGTATAACTAATGCTGAACCCAGTGATAGCGGAGATTATATGTGTGAGGTCACAGCGGCCACTGGAAATGGATTTAATTCCGTTACCATTAAAGTGATTATTGAAGGTATATTTATTCACCTCCGTTTGTGGGGCACTGCTTTGCTAAATTGACCGCAGCGTTTCGCTCACAAAACATGCAGTCACTACACTTTACGGTGTATCCTGTGAAGCACTTTGAGACAGCTCGACGACGTGATAAGGCGCTATGTCAAATGCAAGGATTATATTATTATCTATCTGTCTCTCGATATCTATATATTTGTATCTCTCCAGCTCTCTCTCTCTCTGTCTGTCCCTCTCTGTCTGTCTCTGTGTCCATCACTCTCTGTCTCTCCGTCTCTCTCTTTTACTAAATAAATATTGTTGTGTTTCTCCCACAAAAATCACAGTCACAACACTTTTCAGTATATTCTGTGAAGCACTTTGAGACGTCTCGACAACTTGATAAGGCGCTATATCAAATGTAAGGATTATTATTTTAGTGAGAGAGAGAGACCGAGTGTGCACAAGAGGGGGAGGGAGGCAGCGCGTGAGAGGGAGGGAGGGCACGGGTGCGAGAGGGAGGGAGGGAGGGAGGGAGTGAGAGGTTGGGAGGGCACGAGAGGGTGAGACAGGCAGGGAGAGCGAGATAGGGTGGGAAGGAGTGAGAGAGAGAGAGAGAGAGAGGGAGGAAGAGCATGAGAAGGGGAGGGCGATGGGGAGGGGGGGCTGAGAGATAAAGAGGGAGAGTAAGAGAGATGGAGAGAGGGAGGGAAAGTGAGTGAGAGAGATGGAGAGAGAGGGAAAGTGAGAGCAGGCAGGAAGGAAAGCGCGAGAGAAAGGGAGGGAGAGAGTGAGAGAGAGAGAAAGAAAGAGGGAACGAGAGATGGAGTGAGAAAGTGGGAGGGAGGGAGAGAGTAAGCGAGTGAGAGAGATCGTGCGAGAGAGAGGGAGAGTGCGAGAGTGGGTGGAAAGTGCGAGAGGGGGAGAGGCAGAAAGAGGGAGTGGGAGGGAGGGAGGGAAAGTATGAGAAAGAGGGAGGGAGCGTGAGAGGGAGGGTGACAGAGTGAGAGAGGAACAGAGAGGCAGGGAGAATGAGATAGGGAGGGAAGGAGCGAGTGAGAGAGGGAGGAAGAACACGAGAGAGGGAGGGACAACATGAGAGGGAGAGTGAGAGAAAGGGAGGGAGGGAGAGAGGGATGGAGGGAGAGTGAGAGAAAGTGAGGGAGAGAGACTGAAAGAGAGAGGGAGGGAGAGAGAGAGAGGGGGGTGGGATGGAGGGAGAGTGAGAGAGAAAGAGGGATGGAGGGAGAGTGAGTGAGAGAGAGAGCGGCAGGGAGGAAAAGCACGAGAGAGTGAGCAGGAGGGAGGGAGAGCGTGAGAGCGAGGGAGGGAGAGTGAGAGCGCAAGAGGGAGGGAAGGAGAGCACGAGAGCAAGGGAGGGAGAGCGCGAGGGAGAGAGAGAGGGAGAGCGCGAGGGAGAGAGAGAGGGAGAGCGTGAGGGAGAGAGAGATGGAGGTAGAGTGTGAGATGGAGGGCATGAGAGAAAGAGGGAGGGAGATAGAGCATGAGATAGAGACGGAGGGAGAAAAAAAGGGAGGGAGAGTGTAAGAGAGGGAGGGAGGATGAGAGAGACGGAGAAAGAGAGAGGAACTATGTATTCACTTTCATTTGAATTAATTTTTTATTCAGTGTTAATTATAAATTTTAATTCAATTAATATTTTAATTTGTTTTTAATTATTATTAATTAATAATTATTATAGTTTAATTCACTTGGTTGACAATTATTTTCATTATTATTATACCTTTTCCCACAAAACACACAGTCACTACACTTCTCAATATATTCCGTGAAACCACTTTGAGATGCCTCAGTGATGTGATGAGGTGCTGTATCAAATGCAAGGATTATTATTATCTCTCACACTCCTTCTATCTTTGTCTCTCACACTGTCTATCTGTCTCTCACACTCTCCAACTGTCTCTCATTCTCTCCATCCTCTCCCGCTCATGCTCTCACACTAAATAAATATTGCCACATTTTGCCCACAAAACACATAGTCACTACACTCTGCAGTGTATCCATGAAGCACTTTAAGACGCCTCAACAGCGTGATCAGGCACTGTGTCAAACGCAAGAATTACTATTATTGTTATTATAGTGTGAGTAAGAGAGCACGCAAGAGAGAGAGAGCGCATGAGAGAGTGTTTATGATTATATCTAACACTGTTCTGTCATTATTATTAATATTATTAATATTAACTCTTGGTTGCCGTGTTCAGTTCCTCCTAAAGTTCCGCAAATTTCCGTGCCCACCTCGGTGACCAACGGAGGGTCAGCAGAGCTGAGTTGTACAGAGACTCATGGATACCCTAAGTCCAAATACAAGTGGTTCAGAAATGGAATACCTATTCCTGTTAAATCTGCTGGAAACTCTTTGTTTCACAACTCATCCTACATTCTCAACATAGAAACCGGTGTCCTGGTATGTACATGTCTCTATCCATCTTGCTCTCGCTCCTCAATCCATATCCTGACCACCCCAACCCCAAGTCTCTGTGCGTTTGTGTGAGTGTGTTTGACACTGTTCTCTCTCTCTCTCCAGCTGTTTAATCCCGTCACTAAGTCTGACGTGGGGGAATATTATTGCGAAGCGTCAAACGGGGTTGGACCAGCAATGAGAAGCCAAGCTAAAAAAATGGATGTTTGTAAGTTAACCTCTCTTTTCAGTTATTTCTCTCTCTCTCTCTCTCTCACACACACACACATACAGAACAGTCACTATATCCCAAGAAGCACTCTGAGATGTCTCAACGATGTGATAATGCACTTTATTAAATGCAAGGATTATTATATCTCACTCTCTCACACTCAGTCTCTCTGACTCTCTCTCTTATACTCTTAGTCTCTTTTGTTCTCTCTCTCGCTCTCGCTCTCAGTCCCTCTGTCTCCATCTCTCACTCTCTCCCTCTCACACTCAAACTCTCTCTTGCACTCAGACTCTCACACAGTCTCTCTCTCTCTTTCTCATGTTCTCTCTCTCTCTCTCTCTCACTCTCTCTCTCTCTCTCCACAGATGAAACCAATGTAGGAGGGATTGTGGCCGGAGTAATTATTGCTCTCTTGATTATTGCTCTTATCGGAATCGGGATATGGTTTGCATATCGTAAAGGATATCTTCCACGTGAGTGAAAGAAAGACCAAGAGAAAGAAACCGAGAGAGAGAGAGACACCAAGACTGAGAGAGAGACTTTTTTTGGTCAGCCGGGTGTCTGACGTGTGGAAACCCATCACGTCACCATGCTTAAGAGTATCCAAACCAAGCTGAGATTTCCAGGCTTCTCAAATACACATGGACTTCCCAGAGATAGATTGTTGGAATGGAATACACACTCTCTCCCTGGTGGGACCATCCTAGTTACCCAATTCCGGAAAGGAGTAGGTGCAGGTTGGCAAGAGCCAAGGTTTGGGGACCCCAGAGTGTGCGTTTGGGGTTGTACTGGAATCTAACCAGCTAAAACCATACAGCTTGCCATTGATGTAGCTGTCCGACAAGCTTTTTTGCTGTTTGTTCAGCTAGGACCACCCTACCTGTTACTCTTGTAAGCTTGCAGGGTTAGCAGGAGCTGAGTGGTTTGACTCCCTGCCCCCAGTGATTGGTCTGCCCTTCCAGGTCCTGTTGGATGAGCCAGGATGGCTGTGCTGTCATCAGCAGTGCCCTGGAATATTGCGGACCTGTCTGGCTCAGCAACCGGACTCCCGGGACTGTCACAGAGAGCTGGCTCAATTCCGACATTCCGTTGCCAGGCATGTCACCTTGAACCACGCTTACCTCCATCCCATCCCACCAGGTGGATAGTCATTAGTTGGTCGTTCGACATCCGACAAGCACAGGTTTGAGCCCTCACTAGGTGGATGGTAGATACCGGGAATTCCCTGGGAGCTTCCCGATTGGCAACATATCTCAGCATGAAATGGTGAGAACATTGCCACCAGCTTCCTGTCCACAGCTCGGGCACACACCCCTTTTGGCTCGGGCATGCATCCTGTCTGCAAGAATATCAAGGTGGCTGGCACTTCACAAGCTGTCCTGTAAAGGTCTGCCCACCATGCTGAAGGCCAGGTAGTTGATGAGGAAACACTGAGGCTTGGAGCGACAGCTGTTGGAATGTTTTGCCTTGAGTCCGAGTTTATGATCACACGTTCATATGTTCAGGGCCTGGAATCCACCTTGATCGTCCTGCAGAGAGGCAAACAGTTGCTGCTTAAACTCCGCACTTACAATTGGTGGAAACATTCGCTCAAAGGGGAGAGAGGGAGACTGAGAGAAAGAACGAGGGCGAGAGAGAGAGAGCGAGAGAGACAGAAAGTGAGAGAGACTGAAAGCGAAGAGAGAGAGATACTGAGAGGGATAGAGAGAGACTGAAAGCGTGAGAGGGGGCATGAGGGAACGAGGGGGCGTGGGGGCGAGAGTGATTTATGTAATTTTTGTTTCTGAATCTGATCTTTTTTGCCCCCCCAAACAGGAAAGAAAGATACGTAAGTACTATTTTTATTTTTCTCATTGTCTCTCTCTTGTTCTCTCTCTCTGTCTCTCATTTTCTCTCTCTCTCTCTCTCTCTCCCTCTCTCTCACTCTCTCTCATTCTTTCCCTTGGTCTCTCTTTCTCAGTCTCTCTTTCTCACATTCTCTCTCTCTCTCTTACAGAAAACCACCTGTTTCTTACCACCAGCCTCCGGAAGACACTACTGACGATGTGAGTGTGAAATATAACATTAGTGTGTAACACACTCGCTCTCACATGCTCTGACTCACGCACAAACACTGTCTCTCTCAATGTCTCTCACACACACACACACTCCGTCTCACTCACTCTCCCACACACTCTCTCACACACTCTCATACATATTCTCAGTGCATCACACACTCTCTCTCGCTCTGTCTCACTTTCCCTCATACGCTTTCTCATATTCACTCTCACACTTGCTCTCTTACACATTTTCTTTGTTTTTCAGGCTGATTTTAAGCAGAAATCTTCATTTGTCGTCTAAGGATATGAACAACATGATCTGTGTGTGTATCTTTTTCCCTCTGTCACTTTCTCGCTCTTCTCTCGCACTCATTCACCTCACAACTGTTTTTGGGACCTTGCTGTGTGCAATTGGCTGCCGCGTTTCGCCGATGAAGCACGCAGTCACTACGTTTTACAGTATATTCTATGAGGCGCTTTGAGACTGGTGTGTGTCTTTCTGTCTGTGAATAAGAAATGCAGAGGATGTTGTTCATTTGGATTTTTAGGAAGGTGTTTGATAAAGTGCAGTGTAAAGAGAATTGTGCCCAAGATTAAGATACTGTAGATGGACAGAGGAATGGATGAAGAGCAGGTGTCAAATGTGAAGGAAGGGATTATCGGTGTAGAGCATTTAACCTCACAAATTAGGGTAGGATCGCTCTTGTATTTTGTTCTCTTTCTCTCTGGCCTAATCTATACCCCACCATTGGCAGTAAGCCTTTCAGTCTATCTGCCTTCACTCTCTGGAACTCCCATGCGAGAGAATTTTCACCTCAACCCCCTCCCTCGCCTCCTTTAAGTTCCATTGCTCTTTAGGACCATCCTATTTAATATTAATAACTCTTCCATTTAATATAGTAACTTTCATGTCAGAAGAATATCTCAAAACTCTTCACAAGATATACTGTAAAATGGAGTGATTGTATTCATGAGCAAACATGACAGCCAGCTTGTGCGCAGCACTATACCAAGAACAGCCAGGAAGTGAATGACCAGGAGAAAGGCCTTAAACCCACAGCCATCTGACTCAGACACAAGCGTGCTATGAATTGAGTTAGTGCCCAGCAAACACAACTCCATAGCACAGAGCTAACCTCAGGTGAAGTATGCACTGACCTAACGTGTTCCCTTTGCCTAGAGAGGCAACAAAGCACAGACATGTTACAGCAGTGAGAAGTGGAAACGGTTTCTATGTCACCATCAAAACAATTCCATTCTCTACAAACAAGTATGTTGCTTTTGCCACAGGAGCAAAACCAGAGGTGACAGTACTGTTCTGCCAAAGCATAACCCTTCACAGTGAATACAATAAACCAAACCCTGGCTCTTGTCAAGTGATTCTTGGCCTTGACCCCATCCTAATGCTAAAATTCAGACTCTGGCCCTGCAGATAGGATTTGTTCAGACAGTTTTTTTTTGGAGAGATTCATTTTTAATATTGCATCACAAATTTGGATGAAGAAGCCCCTTCACCACATTTGATTTCCTTTCCCACAACACTACTATACAGAATTAAACAATTTCTTAAATAAGTCCAGTGTCTTGGGTCATTAATTATCCTCTATTAAGATAATTAGCAAGGAAGCAAAAAGGGAGATTAAGAGGATTTTTTTTACACAGAGAGTTAAGACTGCCTTTCTGAACGTGATTGTCCATGCAGAATTCATATTAGCTTTCAAGCCATTACCTAGGTAGATATTCTAAAAGGAATACGAGGAATAGGCAGGACTGGATCAATTCCTCTATTTAATAGCCAGCACAGAAACAATGGACTGAATGGTCTTGCACTCTGCTATAAATTTCTGTGGTTCCAATACTTGCTGATATCTGTTCTGAAACCCTTTGCTATGCTGAATTTATGCCTTTTCTCAAATTCTGTGTACCTGAAAGCAATAGTTGAGTTTGATTCCTTATAGCTATTTAAAATTGTACATATCTGTATAAGGTTCTCTCAGAAATGTGTCTTTTGAAGGTAGAACCTCCCTAACTTGTCTAATTGTTGCTCCTAGCTCAATTCTCTTACCATTGGGGGATGATCCTTGTTGCTCTAGTCTGTGCTATTTTACATCTTTCCATCGCACCCAGGAGCTAACTGAGAGTGTTTGAAGTTATAATGAGCTGTATGCACTCATAGTTTAGCCAACAACTCAGCTAATAAATCTTTTCTAAATTAAATCAAATCAGAATCAACCTCAGATCATCACTGTATATCGATGCTAATGACTAAAGCATGTATGTCAAATCATAACTAATGAAGGAGGTCGGGGTCAGTAAATGATATTGCAGCTCAGTATTTTAGCTAAAATGCTCGTATAAATCTCGTTCCATTGAAGAGCATTAGTCAAGCTAATGAGGTGCTTCCATTAGAGTCCAGAGGTAAAGTGATTGCATGTAGCAACTGCATGACTCATTTCTCTATCTAAGTCAAGTTTACGTATGAATAATGTGGTCCAAATTGCATGAGTTCATAATAGAATTCTTTCCCGCTGCTTGTCCAACTAGGACCACCTACCCGTTAGGGCTTTTGCTTCCGGGCTAATGGGAGCTGGGTGGGAATAGTCTCTGCCCTAATGACTGTTTATTCAAAAAAATTTATAGACTGTTCAAGAGTCAACATATACAATTTCACGAAAAGTAATTCTGGAACAAGCATTCCTAAAAACTTATCAGAAAATGCATACAAGACAAGAATACATTCTATGTAATTGCTGAGTGGTGCAAAATAATTTCATATAAATAACATACCCATTGAGGTGGAGGGGTGAACAGCAATGGATTCTTTAATATTAATATCTCAGCTCATTTAACAGAAAGAAGTCTTCCAAGAAACATTCATTGTAATGACTGAGTACTCAAGCTCTTGGAGATAGAAATTAATTTCACCTCGGTCTAATTTTGCTCGTGAGTATTTTGGAGCATCCAGAATTTGACAATTTGTTGAATTTAGCCTTAACTTTGAAGCCAATTTTCTGCAAATAAAAGAACATTCAGAAAATTGAGTTGGCTTAAAACAAATTGAGGCTGGATTTAAGGATTTGCCCATTTCTAATGGTCTGAAATGTTAAACAAATAGAGTAGTATTAGATCCTTGAGGTTTGTGACAAATAGGTACATTACATCTGAATCCAGCTTGTAGATTTGATTTGGAAAAAAATTGTATTGTGTGGATAACTTCAATAAAATACAGGTTCAAACATCTATCCTGGTGTACTAGTTGCCAGGACAATTGTGCTTTATAGTTGGTTTTCAGGCAATGAGCACCATGTTTTTTAAACTTGACATCATCTCCAAAGAGGTGGAAGAACATAGTTTGTGAATAAAAGTTTCAAGCTTAATTAACTTAATTTTTAGGGCAAAAAGATTAAGGATATGGTACTTAGGTTAGTTTAAAGAAGTATAATGAAAATGTTCAACTGACTCACCCAAATTGCTTAGTAGGTTATAATGTCAATTGGTGATTCATCTTGGAAAGCGATTCTGATGAGCGATCTTTGCTTTACTAACCATTCATGTATAAACTCTTCCAGCAGATATTATTGTATAATGATCTCAACTTGGCAAAGGCCAGGGATCAACTTCTGTCATTCCTTATCTTGTATGATCCGTACCATATTAAATCCAATGAGGTCTCGAGCTCCAACCTTGATAAATTGTCAAGTTGTGAGATGTTACATGATGCATCACTCAATAGCTTTTTTATTGCAGTTGACAGGCTTGGTACTCCCAACAAGTCTTTTTAATGTAGTTAGCCATGTTAATTTCAATTGGTGGTTCTTTTGTGACTCAATCCTTAGAAAAATGATGCTTTACAAATCTTTTACAATGAGGTTAAGCCACTTCAGAAAAATGAGTCAGGAATAAATTGTACTTAAATGCTTTGGTTGCATTATGACAGACCGCTATAATTTAGTGGGCTTAATGGTTAAGGTGCAATCATGCTTAGTGGTAATGCTTTGCAATACTAAGTATGGCATGCGTATTTGGCATATTGAACTGCATTGGCCAACCTGTCAAGACATCAGTAATGTTCAATACCTATAGATCTTGGCGCTTTAGATCTTGGTTTAGAAGGATTTGCAGGTAAACTAGTTATTAGTCACGCTCTTGAGTCTGTATTCACTGTTGCTGACAAGCTAAGCGTGGAATGTTTGAACTGTTCTGAAACTTTGAAATGTAAAGGGTTCAGATGGAATGAAACGGACATGCATGGATCCAGATGTTTTGCCTGGAAGAAGCCAATAGCAAAAACATTGATTGCTGCTGTCATTTTCATGGGTACCAGGTAATGAACACAAAATTACAGAGAAACATTAGTGCTCACTTTGCAATTTCCCACATGGGTTAGTCAGTTTAAATCTCTTCAGGCACTGCATCGTCTTTCGGGAATAACAAAATAATTCAACCTTGGACAATAAATTCTATTGGTACCAGTATCTTCCTAATTTCCTTTTGTCTTTAGTGATAGCATTTACTTGTGAACAGGGTTAGAGCTATGTTACAATAATTGGCTCAAATGCACTGATTCCTATTTAGATAGGAATAGGCTGGACCATCTGTCCCATAAGCAAACCATGGTGCCTTTGATATTGATGGAGCCTTTTTTCCTATCAGTTGTTACAGACGGTATAGCCTCCAGTCCAACAATTAATGTCCTCCTGACGTAAAAGGCGCTATGCAAATGTAATTTTGTTGTTGTTAACAAAGGCCCATCATATGCTGAGTGATAACGATGGCAATGTTTTCATTATGTTATGAGAAATCCCATCATATAAACAGATGGATATTATTGAATCAAATATAATCCCCTGCTACACCTTCAATTATATTTTGGAAATCGAAAATAATATCAACAGGATTCACGCTAAAATGTATTATGTTTATTTTCCAGATTGATTAAGATTTTAAACAAATGCCCAAGCTAATATTAAATAAACACAATGCTCAATCCTTTACTCACATAGCAGATAAAAAGTATTTTAAATGCAGAAGCATGACTCAGAATGCAAGTTGAAGAAAACACAATAGATTGGTTCAGTCCAGAGCTGTTTTTTTGGTCAGCTGAATCTCTTGACACATGCTGAAAACCATGCTTAAGAGTATCAAAACTAAACTGAGAGTTCCATGCATCCTACCTACACATGAAAAATCCAGAAATATTGATTAGAATGGAATGCACACTCTCACTGGAAGGATGCGTATTATTTTCCTAATTCCAGAAAGTATTAGGCGCAGGTTGCCAAGAGCCAACTCTTGGGGACCCAAGAGTGTGTGCTGCAGTTTCACCAGTTAAGACCACATAGTTTGCTATTGATAGCACTATCTGGAAAGTTATCCTGCTGCTTGTTAAGCTAGGACTACCAAAGTGTAGTCTTGGCTTGTAAGAATAACAGGAGCAGATCCAGCGATTGGTCTGTCCTTCCAAGTCCTGCCAATGAGCCAGGTTGGCTGGGCTGTCATCAGCAGTGCCCTGGAGGGCTGCAGACCAGATGGGCTCAGGAACTCGACAACTGAGACTGCCACATATGGTGGGCTTGATTCTGCCATTCCATTGTTAAACATGTCACCTGGGAAACCGTTCAGCTTCAAGGAGACCCCACTTACTCCCCCAGGGCGGACAGTCACTGGTTAGTCATTCACTAGGTGGGTGACAAGTGAATGACCAACCAGTACCTTATTAGGTGGATGACAAGTACCAGGAACTCCCTGCGAGCTTCCTGATGGGCAGCAAGGTTATCCTTGATGGGCAGTATGAGAGGCTGCTATAATATTCCTACCCACAGCTCGGACCCAATCCCTTCCCATTGAGCGATGGTTCCATTAGTTAGAAGTGCGGAGCTTGAGCAACAGCTGCTTAACTCTGCAGATCAATCAAGTTGGATTTTACTCCAGGATATGATTGTGTGTGTTCACAAACTTGGACTCCAGGAACAGTTCAGACCATCATTGCCTCTTAGTGATAGCAACTCCTCAGGCTTTTCCTTCAAATTAGAAATAACACAATATATAAAAATGTGAATTTGAACTCTAAATACAATATTTTATTAGTAACTTCTCCAGAAACTAAAAGTCATTTTTCATGTTCACTCTTTTGAGTCTTGACAACAACAAACTGGCTATAAGCCTTTGCCTAGTAGAGTACAACAACAATAGCAAATTGCATTTATATAGCACCTTAGGTGTTCGGAGGACGTCTCAAATCGTTGGTCGGTGAAGGGTTTCCACATGAGCTGCGGCTTGGATTCAAGAGTGGTGGGAAGATGACCGAATGCAGTCAAAAAGCAACATCTTGATATTGACCTTGAAGGAGGCAAGAGACTGGGTGAGCCAAAAGAACTCTGGTTGAGTTCCAGAGAGTTGGGGCAGAAAGACTGAAGGCCCGACTGCCGATGGTAGAATGGGCAGAGAGGGGGATGTGAAATGGATCATTGCCTACCGCACAGAGGAAGCAGGCAGTTTAGTAGGATTTTAGCAGGTCACAGAGATAGGGTGGGGCAAGACTGTGGAGAGCTTTAAAAATGAGGACGAGGATCTTG